AACGTATGCAAAATGATTTTGAGACGATTTGAGCATTTCAAAATTTGACGCGCACATTGACGCGCGGACGTACGCGCACGCGCGCTTTATTTGACCTGCAATTGACCGGACGGATATTGACCTTGATCATGATAAATATGAATGAGAAATACCTTTTGGTTATGAAGATATGATCATGAGTTGATTTTCGTAAAATTTTACAAATTTTACGCCTAGATGACGTCATCAGTCAAGGTCAAGATTGAAAAAAATTCTGTGGTTCGTACATATGCCTATACATATGTGTGCCAAATTTCAAGGCATTTCATTGAGCCATTTTCAAGTTATTTTGTTCACAAAAAAGTGGTTAGAAATAAGAAAAATATATAATAAAGGCAATTCTAACGAAATTATAAGGTGGTCTGTACGATATACAGCCCACCTGATAATAATAAATAAAGGCAATTCTAACGAAATTATAAGGTGGTCTGTACTATATACAGCCCACCTGATAATAAATAAAGGCAATTCTAACGAAATTATAAGGTGGTCTGTACGATATACAGCCCACCTGATAAACTAGATTTGTAATACTTGTTTGGTACAAGTATAGGTGGGCTGGTCCAGCTAACATTTTAGACAAAATGAAGGGCACATTTGAGATAGCTAATTGTCTCAGCTACATCATACTCGAAGTTCAGCGTAAATGAAGCTAAAATGACGTAGATGTTGCCCGCGAAAGACGGGAATGTAGAATCGAGTTTTGAGAAAAAGTCATGTCCCATAGAGAATACACGCAAAATGTGAAAAATTGACATGCCTCCTTTAATCGCAAAAATACGCCATGATACCTTTGTCAAAATGAAGAATAGTACTGACTGCATTTGTAGAAATTTGTCTCAGCTAGAACATATTAAAATTTGGAAGAAAATTGATCAATATTTACAGAGATACAATCAATTTTCCATAAATATGCTGACGTCATAATATGCAAATTGGAATTTTGAGTTCGGAGGCCATTATGATGACGTCATGAGTTAATTGAGGGTCGAATGAGACATGAAACAATATTTCCGAATCATACTCTTTTAAAATATGAAAACAAATTGGGGTCACCTTGCATCCTAAAGAGCTACAATGGATTTTGTATAGGCGTGTTTTTGCCCATATATGCTATGTATTACAAGAGCTCGCGCGCATGGAGATTTATGTTAAACGGTCGATCATTCCGTTATTAATAGTCATAAAGAGACAAACATGGTATCAATATGTTTGTAAATATATGTGGTATATTATGAAAGAAAAAAAAGGCAATTCAATGTTGTGCAAAAGTTTTACGCGCGAAAACGCGCGCGCATGCTCGTACGCGCGATTTTTTATAAAATGCTTAGAATGGGCTAAAACGTATGCAAAATGATTTTCAGACGATTTTGAGCATTTCAAAATTTTGCGCGCGCATTGACGCGCGGACGTACGCGCACGCGCGCGTTATTTTACCTTTTATTGACCGGACGGATATTGACCTTGATCATGATAAATATGAACGAGAAATACCTTTTGGTTATGAAGATATGATCATGAGTTGATTTTCGTAAAATTTTACAAAATGGCGCCTAGATGACGTCATCAGTGAAGGTTAATGTTGAAAACGTTATTGTGCTTTGTACATATGTCTATACATATGTGTGCCAAATTTCTAGGCATTTGATTGAGCCATTTCCAAGTTATCTTGTTCACAAAAAAGTGGTTAGAAATAAGAAAAATATATAATAAATTGTTTGGAACAAGTATAGGTGGGCTGATCCAACAAAAAATTGAGACAAAATAAAGGGTACATTTAAGATAGCTTTTTGTCTCAGCTACAACATACTCGAAGTTCAGCGTAAATGAAGCTAAAACGACGTAGATATTGCTCGCGAAAGACGGGAATGTAGAATCGAGTTTTGAGAAAAAATCATGTCCCATAGAGAATACACGCAAAATGTGAAAATTGACATGCCTCCTTTAATCACAAAAATACGCCATGATGCTTTTGTCAAAATTAACAATTGTTATGACTTCATTTGTAGAAAATTGTCTCAGCTAGAACATTTCAAAATTTAGAAGAAAATCAATCACTATTTACAGAGATACAATCAATTTTCCATAAATATGCTGACGTCATAATATGCAAATTGGAATTTTGAGTTCGGAGGCCATTATAATGACGTCATGAGTTAATTGAAGGTCAAATGTGACATGAAACAATATCTCCGAATCATACTCTATCAAAATATGAAAACAAATTGGGGTCACCTTGCATCCTAAAGAGCTACAATGGATTTTGTATAGGCATGTTTTTGCCCATATATGCTATGTATTACAAGAGCTCGCGCGCACCGAGATTTATGTTAAACGGTCGATCATTCCGTTATTAATAGTCATAAAGAGACAAACATGGTATCAATTTGTTTTTAAATATATGTGGAATATTATAAAAGAAAAAAAATGGTGATTCTATGTTATGTAATAGTTTTACGCGCGAAAACGCGCGCGCATGGGCGTGTGCGCGATTTTTTATAAAATGCTTAGAATGGCCTAAAACGTATGCAAAATGATTTTGAGACGATTTTGAGCATTTTAAAATTTTGCGCGCGCATTGACGCGCGGACGTACGCGCACGCGCGCATTATTTGAGCTGAAATTAACCGGACGGATATTGACCTTCATCATGATAAATATGAATGAGAATTACTTTTTGGTTATGAAGATATGATCATGAGTTGATTTTCGTAAAATTTTACAAAATGGCGCCTAGATGACGTCATCAGTGAAGGTCAATGTTGAAAACGTTATTGTGCTTCGTACATGTGCCTATACATATGTGTGCCAAATTTCAAGGCATTTGATTGAGCCATTTTCGTGTTATTTTGTTCACAAAAAAGTGGTTAGAAATAAGAAAAATATTTAATAATAAATAAAGGCAATTCTAACGAAATTATAAGGTGGTCTGTACTATATACAGCCCACCTGATAAATAAAGGCAATTCTAACGAAATTATAAGGTGGTCTGTATTAGATACAGCCCACCTGATAAATAAAGGCAATTCTAACGAAATTATAAGGTGATCTGTACGTTATACAGCCCACCTGACTAGATTTGTAATACTTGTTTGGAACAAGTATAGGTTGGCTGATCCAACAAAAAATTGAGACAAAATAAAGGGTACAGTTGAGATAGCTCTTTGTCTCAGCTACAACACACTCGAAGTTCAGCGTAAATGAAGCTAAAACGACGTAGATATTGCCCGCGAAAGACGGGAATGTAGAATCGAGTTTTGAGAAAAAGTCATGTCCCTTAGAGAATACACGCAAAATGTGAAAAATTGACATGCCTCCTTTAATCGCAAAAATGCGCCATGATGTCTTTGTCAAATAAAGATAATAGTTACTGCATTTGTAGAAAATTGTCTCAGCCACAACATATCAAAATTTGGAAGAAAATCGATCAATATTTACAGAGATACAATCAATTTTCCATAAATATGCTGACGTCATAATATGCAAATTGGAATTTTGAGTTCGGAGGCCATTATGATGACGTCATGAGTTAATCGAGGGTCAAATGAGACATGAAACAATATCTCCGAATCATACTCTAATAAAATTTGAAAAAAAATTGAGGTCACCTTACATCCTAAAGAGTTACAATTGATTTTCTATAGCCATGTTTTTGCCCATATATGCTATGTTTTACAAGAGCTCGCGCGCACGGAAATTTATGTTAAACGGTCGATCATTCCGTTATTAATAGTCATAAAGAGACAAACATGGTATCAATTTGTTTTTAAAAATATGTGAAATATTATGAAAGAAAAAAAATTGCGATTCTATGTTGTGTAATAGTTTTACGCGCGAAAACGCGCTTGCGCGTGTGCGCGATTTTTTATAAAATGCTTAGAAGGACCTAAAACATATGCAAAATGATTTTGAGACGATTTTGAGCATTTTGAAATTTTGCGCGCGCATTGACGCGCGGACGTACGCGCACGTGCGCGTTCTTTGACCTGAAATTGACCGGACGAATATTGACCTTGATCATGATAAATATGAATGAGAAATAGTTTTTGGTTATGAAGATATGATCATGAGTTGATTTTCGTAAAGTTTTACAAAATGGCGCCTAGATGACGTCATCACTAAAGGTCAATGTTGAAAACATTATTGTGCTTTGTACATATGCCTTGACATATGTGTGCCAAATTTCAAGGATTTTGATTGAGCCATTTTTGTGTTATCTTGTTCACGAAAAAGTGGTTAGAAATAAGAAAAATATTTAATAAATAAATAAAGGCAATTCTAACGAAATTATAAGGTGGTCTGTACGATATACAGCCCACCTGATAAATAAATAAATAATAAAGGTAATTCTAACGAAATTATAAGGTGGTCTGTACGATATACAGCCCACCTGATAATTCAAAACTCAGAATCGGTGTCATATCCCTTTTTGGATGGTGTAAAATTCCATCACATATATATACACTAAACCCATTATAATTTGAGAAATAATAGCAATTATGTTCATTCTTTATGGGATATCGTCAGTTTGGGCAGGATTGGTTCATACTCTGACGGCATTAAAACATCGTTTTTTTTTCTGGCGAATCTCTCGCATATTCCAGATGCTATGGAGGTGGTTGTATTTGTATTTTTATAAATTTCCCGATATGTAGTTGACCTAAAACTTGTACGATGACGATCTGTTAGCTTACCAGTTTTTATTGATACATTATTTGCCATACTTGTGATTTTCTTTGAACAAGCACTTTAGGAAAACCATTGTAGTTTATTTATCTATTCGCACCCTTCTTCTCCTCCTCGTTGATTCCAAATTAACCCTTAACACACCAATGATTATGAACAATGCTATATTCTACTTGATATAACTCACTCCTACAGTGTGTGTTTGCGTTATTGTGTGTGCGTGTGTATGAGTATTTTTCTAATGGCAAGTTTCTCTTATTTTTTAAATATCTCAGGCAACAGACAACAAGACGGAATCTAGAAGAGAACCTCGCGGTCAAGGTAATAATGGATTTTATTTATTTACCTTCATCAATGTATTTCAATGATCGTACAACACTCAAGTAGTATATGAAAAGAGAAACGGGTAGATTCAAAATAATTGAAATACTTTTTAATGAGGAATGAAATGTTTGTGCGTATGATTTTGTGAAAGCAAAGCAACAATACTCGAATAACCCATACCTACATGTACGCTCTGCAGCATACACATTTAAATGATGTTCAGCTGTTAGCACTTATCAAAATGCAACGTAAACAAGTAAATGTATCGAAAAAATAAATTTCTAAACGAGAATAACTAATGAGGTATAGGGGAAGGATTCCTTGTTAAGATGCCACAAACTATATGATTTTTCAAAAGAAGTATTCAAGTAAAAACAACTAAGAATTCAGGAAATATACTGTAATTATATACGAATTATTTGCAATCGTTATGTAAGTGATAACAATTGGCTATTGCCAGTCAAACTATGTGCTCGTCAGCCCCCATGAAAAATGTTATAGTGATGCTATAGAACATAGGATCAAAGCAGCAGGTGTGTTCACTTCTTATTCAGGAGCTAGCAGGTAACACCGAGTGGATTCACCAGTGCCCTTTAAAAAAAATCTAAATTCATCGGAGAGGTCTCACAGACACATAACAAGCTTAATTGAGTCCCTGTATCTATACAAATAGCAAGCACAAGCGTGAAGTTCCGTTCATTTTGTTTGTAAGTGATCGTACATTTCCAAGCAAAGTTTTTGACAAAGGTGGGTTGGAGATATGGTTTCGGGTTCGAGTCATCGTGCCTCCTTGTTCCCCTTCTGTCCCTGGCCTTATCTCTCTTTCGAAATCCCTCGTTATCCATTATAGGCTTTGGGCATGGAGAGATGGCACAGTGATGACGTTGTAATTATTATATTTGTTTCAGCCCTCCCCCCCCCCCCTCTTTCTCTCTCTCTCTCTCTCTCTCACTCGCAAGCTAAACAATATTTCCCCTCAATTTTTAGCATGTTCTACAAAAGTTAATGACGTGTTTTATCTTTCATTTTTTTTAACTATTCAAGGTGATCAAGAGTCATCACTGAAAACAGGCCAAACAGGCAATGCGGACAGAAGCACCAATGTGCATGAGTCATGGCAAGGCAATCCCCACCAAGTGGATTCGGTGAGCCAGATCGCATTTGCATTTTATACGAGACAGCAGGCCATTTATGTTGTTTAAGAGAAGGTGCATTGATTTGAAAAACTAACTTTATTGTCATTATTGCAAAGGTGAAACTTTGATTGGACAAGTTTATACAAATTTGATGCTTGGAAACATTCGAAGTAATGATTATTATGATTTCAAAACGCTTAAAAACAGCCCCGGCATAGCACCGGCATAACACCTGAAAAGCTCTCCGATCGCTGCTGAGATGTGTGACGTCACATGTTGAACATGATTTGCACAAGCAGACGGTGTCCCATGACATCTCACACATTTTCAGTGCCTGTTTTGTCGTCTTCTCTTCAGTTATTTATCTTACTTCACTACCCTCAGTCTAAATGTTTAATATATTGCCTCACTCTAAACCCTGATGAAAAATGCAAGGAAAAAATAAAGGAATCCTTCGTTTGTAAACAAAATAAGACGCCATTGTATTTTCAGCTGCATACACCGCAGTATGTTTAGGCGTTTCAATGGGGAACAAATGCCGTCCATGATTTCATTCCGGGGCTTTTTTAATTTTAAAGTGTGGTTTCTTTGATTGTTCATTAACCCCTATCCTGTGCATTTACAAACAAAATAATTTAGGACTCAAATCGGGGTCATATCCCTTTTTGAATGGTGTAAAATTCCATCACATATATATACACTAAACTCATTATAATTTTAGAAATAATAGCAATTATATTCATTCTGTATTGGATATCGTCAGCTTGGGCAGGATTTATTCATATTGTGACGGCATTAAAACATCGTTATTTTTCTGCCGAATCTCTCGCATATTCCAGATGCTATGGAGGGGGTTGTATTTAAATTTTTATAAATCACCCGATATGTAGTTGACCTAAAACTTGTACGATGACGATTTGTTAGCTTACCAGTTTTTATTGATACATTATTTGCCATATTTGTGATTTTCTTTGAACAAGCACTTCAGGAAAACCATTGTAGTTTATTTATCTATTCGCACTCTCCTTCTCCTCCTCGTTGATTCCAAATTAACCCTGTTTCACACCAATGATTATGAACAATGCTATATTCCACTTGATATAACTCACTCCTACAGCAGGCGCGGATCCAGGATTTCTTAGGGGAGGGGGCCCAACTTTTTTTGTTTTGCTCCCGAAAATTTGAAAATCGCGCCGGCCGCAAAGTCGCTCAGTGGGGGGGGGGGGGGGGGAGGGGGTAGGGGGGGGGGAGGGGGTAGGGGGAGGGGGTAGGGGGGTAGGGAGCACTTTTTTTTTTGTCCCTCCAAGAATTTAAAATTTGCACCCCCCCCCCCCCTTGAGCGGCAGGGGGGGTGGGGGATCGCCCAAAAAAGGTAAAAATCACGTGTTTTTAAACCGCCCGCCCCCCCCCAGGGGGGGGGGGGGGGGGGGGGGCGGGCAACCCGGCCCTCCCCCCCCCCTGGATCCGCCACTGTCCTACAGTGTGTGTTTGCGTTATTGTGTGTGCGTGTGTATGAGTATTTTTCTAATGGCAAGTTTCTCTTATTTTTTTTTTAATATCTCAGGCAACAGACAACAAGACAGAATCTAGAAGAGAACCTCGCGGTCAAGGTAATATTGGCTTTTATCTATTCACCTTCAGCAATGTATTTCAATGATCATACAACACTCAAGTAGTATAGGAAAAAAGAAACGGGTAGATAAAAATTAATTAAAATACTTTTTAATAAGGAATGCATTGTTTGTGCGTATGATTTGGTGAAAGCAAAGCAGCAATACTCGAATAACCCTACATACGCTCTGCAGCATACACATTTAAATGATGTTCAGCTGTTAGCACTTATCAAAATGCAACGTAAACAAGTAAATGTATCGATAAAACAAATTCTAAACGAGAATAACTAATGAGGTATAGGGGAAGGATTCCTTGTTAAGATGCAACAAACCATGTGATTTTTCAAAAGAAGTATTCAAGTAATAACAACTAAGAATTCAGGAAATATACTGTAATTATATACGAATTATTTGCAATCGTTATGTATGTGATAACAATTGGCTATTGCCAGTCTAACTATGTGCTCGTCAGCCCCATTGACAAATATTATAGTGATGCTATAGAACATAGTATCAAAGCAGCAGGTGTGTTCACTTCTTATTCAGGAGGTAGCAGGTGACACCGAGTGGATTCACCAGTTCCCTTAAAAAAAAATCTAAATTCATAGGAGAGGTCACACAGACACAAAGCTATCTTGATTCCATAAATTTATACAAAAAGCGAGCACAAGCGTGAAGTTCCGTTCAGTTTGTTTGTAAGTCATCGTACATTTCCAAGCAAAGTTTTTGGCAAAGGTGGGTTGGACATATGGTTTCGGGTTCGAGTCATCATGCCTCCTTGTTTCCCTTCTGTCACTGGCCTTATCTCTCTTTCGAAATCCCTCATTATCCATTAGGCTTTGGGCATGGAGAGTTGGCACGTACTAAAAGTAGCTCAGCCCGTATATATACATTATTCAAATTCGTTGTCAAAAGTAGGGCAGTGAGACAGGTTAGCAGTTGAACAAGTGGCAACAAAATGAAGAGTTATGCAACCAGAGTGGATTTTAGAGTGTTGCTGAACATGATTTTGAAGCAGAGAACAGAAGACCACTATAACAAAACTACAATCTAAAGATAAACCAATGTACAAAATGATGGGCATGCCACAGAGCAGCGCCTTGTAATTGCTGATGGTGACGATGGCATTTTAATTTTTGTAATTTGTTTCACCCCTCCTCTCTCTCTCTCTCTCTCTCTCTCCTTTTCTCTCCGCACGCTAAACAATATTTTCCCTCAAATTTCAGCATTTTCTACAAAAGTTAATGACGTGTTTTATATTTCCTTTTTTTAACTATTCAAGGTGATCAAGAGTTATCATTGAAAGCAGGCCAAACAGGCAATGCGGACAGAAGCACCAATGTGCATGAGTCAGGGCAAGGCAATCCCCATCAAGTGGATTCGGTGAGTCAGGTCGCATTTGCATTTTATACGAGACAGCAGGCCATTTATGTTGTCAAGAAAAGAATTATACTATATATCTATCCGCCCTTTCCTTCTCCCCCTCGTCTCTTACAATATTTTTTTGCCTCCTTCCCTCCTTTTCCAAATTAACCCTTTTCACACCAATGATTATGCACAATGCTATATTCCACTTTATACCAGCCCTCATAACCAAAAGATGACTTTGTGGTCTAACAACTTTCAGACCACTCCACATTTATACATTCTCCCTCAGCCCGAAGGAATCCCTCGCAACCGGCTCCAGTGAGACTTGGCCTAAAATTTTCCCAGTTTGCCTTCCTCAGGTTGAAACGACGTCGGAAGGTTACTGCAAGTGGAGTAATGCCTGCATTAACCTTAAATGCAATACAAAGTTTTGGAAAATTTCGAAAATTGGGTGGATAGTGATTCTTTACCAATTTGATATATTTGGATGCCCCTGTGGATGTATTAGAAGCACTAGAAAATTTAGCCCCTAAAACGCTTCTGGTTTCGAGATAAATTGAATATACAAATTTACAGGTGCTCCCGGTAAATTTAAAAGAAAATCAAAAAGCGGATGTACAATGGTAGCTGCATCCATGAAATCTCAGAATATGTAGTTGTGATATATAGTTTCAAAACGGGAATAGCTAATCGGTTGATTTTAGTCATAAAACATTGTTTTATAGCTTAATTAATATCTTGACCTTGAAAGGTAGCCATACAACATAAAGAGTTTATTATTAACGATTTCATAACTTTAGACTCGATTTCAACCGCGACAACGATCACTGAATATTGTTGGATCGCATATGCTTCCAATATGTTAATTTCAACCAAATTCATGACCCCATACCAAAACTTTGTATTACCTATCGGCCTTTAATGAGCTAGGTCAAAATCAGTTGTATATTTCAGGATATTCACTGGTATACTTGAATTCATCATAAAGGGTTAGAGTAGCCCTAAACCTACAAATATACAGAAGATAGCCGTCATGTTGTAATCCAACATAGCGTCCGGAAACTAAAATGAACAATAAATGGTAATATATCTTTCTTGGAGATGTATTTTTGTGCATAAAACTAGATTTCGGGGGTCGACAAAGCCAGTTAAACTGTTTACAATATGATATGTCAACCAATGTCGAGTATGGCCTCACCTGACACGGATCAGTGAGTTCAGACGTCTTGGCATACTATCCACAAACTTGTTGATGGTGTTGGTGTCCCACTCGTTTGTCAGATCCTGGGCTTATTCCTGTAGGGTTTGAGGAATATTGTCCCTCTTATCCATGGCCTTCCTAATGCATCACAGACATGCTCAAATGGGTTCATATCAGGGGAGCAAGCAGACCATGGCATCTGCTGCACCCCCTCCACATCAAGGATTTTTCTACCAGCATCTGCTTATGTGGCTAAGTTTTGTCTTGCAGTTGAAAGATGTTTCTTTAGACCTTTCTTGCGCGTCGAAGGCAATGGTTCCTCCATATGTCTCAAAACACGACAGCGGTGACGTGTCCATAAGGTATCACCGATGGCGTTGTTCCTTCGTAATTAGTACTGGCCCATACCATCACTGGGCCGCCACCAGCTTGATTGGTTTGATGGACGCAATCATTTTGGAGGTTCCGTCAATTAATAAATGATGGAGAAAAGAAATAAATAAAAGGTTCGTCAACGTAATTACCGAGCCATTTGTCTTCCATTCGTTTAGTCCAGGATATGGCGGCGCTCATCCGTAAAGAATAGGGACTTTTAGATTTGCGTGGACTGATACGTGGTACTTCCATTCACGGCAGTGCTTTAAAAGGACGTCGATCGTAGCATAGACCTATTGTCTTCGTGCGAATCTAAAAGTCCCTATTATATTTCGCCAGTGTCCAAGCTGAGGTCTTCTATGCTACCTAGCCTAGCGAAGTCGGGTAACTATGTGCATACAATTTAGGCAGAGACACTTGGCGATTCGTGTTGCTTTATAACCATGCTGAAGCTAACATTTTGGCAGAAACGTTAATGTAATGTATGGTGTCTTCTCCACAAATTACGAAGGCGGCTCTCTGGGAACTTCTGGTTTTTACGGCACATATTAAGCAGTTACCGATTATCTTGACAAGTAGTCAGTTTTGGTCTTCCTGGATATTATGTTTGCCTCAACTTACCCTCCGTTCGACTATTTTAAGGATTTTACAGACCGCACTTTGTGATATTCCAAGGAAATCAGCAATATCGGCTTCTTGGCGTCCATCATGTTGGAGTGCAATCACTCTTTGGCGTATTCCCAATGACCTCGGACGAGGCATAGCCAAGTGAAATTCTGTGTCAAATCTGGCTAAGAATCATACAGCCATTTCTTAAAATGTGGACCTCCTTTGCATACAGACTACACGCAGGAAAAAGACAATACATAACATTCGTTGGCTTTTTGTTTGTAATAATAATAATAATAATAATCCGTTTTTTTATATAGCGCTCAATACACCGATCCAACGATGTGCCTAAGCACTTTACAGATATATTATTACCCCGGTCATCGGATTCAGGCTTACCCGCACACAATGTGTGCACATTTTCCACTCCCTGGGGAGCATTCCAGCCAGTCGCCATTTTACAGGCGCACACTTGCTCGTCCAACCACATGAACAAGAGGCTATTTCATGAATTGGAATGTTATGCTTGATTTCACCTCGGCAGTTTGGACTCTTTATACAATCAATACACTTGGTCAAAAGTCATGACTAATGCGTTTCAATAAAAAAAAAAAAAAATCTGTCTGAAGAAAAAATTATTCCAACTTTATGGGCAACAGTGTAGCTTAAAGGGAGTGTAGCTTGGCAAATACTGGTGAACGCAAGCTACGACTTCTTTTGGACAACTGCGCGTAAACCGAATTTCGACTCATGGTTTCCACAGAACGTCGGGGACGAGGTGAAGAATTTGTAACAAAAATCCTGTCCCGTTACCGGAAACAGTTTATTCAAAGACCCTACTACAGATGGACTAATAATGAGAGTCTTTCTTTGATCACATCAAGACCACCGCCACTTGATAATTTGTATGTTGATGAGGACATCTATTTGATGCGACAATGTTGATTATGTAACCACGCATCATCGCAGACAAACAATTTTTTTACATTTCTTCAGATTCTTTTCGCTGGGCCAGGGCCAAGAGTGTAGTTTCAGGACAAGTATCGCGAATTAAGACCAGATAGAGGAGCAGTGAAACCCAAGTTATGACAATTTGTTGTGATATGAGATCATTGTTTTAAAGCCAAATTTACAGGTTTCTCTAGTAAACTACTTCTAATTTCATATTGAAAACTTCATATACGTCAATATTCATATGTACGCCACAACTGCACATGCATTTCCATGAAATTTGAGCGGTTCAGTTTCTTTCGCGCATGCATTTTGTAGATTATTCAAGGCACATCCATGGTTATTTTATGGCTGACTGGCGGCGGGCGTGATGAGATCAAAGCTTGGAAGCATGTTTGGAATGTCATTATGATACTTTTGACAGAGTCAGGTGCATGAATGTATTATGGTACCGATCAGTGTCCATTTGTAGTAGGTCCATGGTTTAATGAAGAAAAAAAATACAAGACAGTTTTGTGACACTTTTGTGTTCATGGAAAGTGCATAATAAAATTAGTTCAATATTATCTTTATCTTGCTAGCCAAGAGATACCAGAAAAACAGGGTACATAACAAACATTGGTTTGACCTCATCTTGTTTTAATATTTCATTAAATATTATTTAATAAATTATCTCATTGTGGGATGCGTGGTTTTCTTAGGGGGGCCCAAAACTGAAATTACGCGAGCCAACTATTTGTACGTAATGGTGACCAGCTGCATGGGCAGCAGTGGGGTGATGAGCAAAAACTTTAGCCTTAGGGCCCTAGGTGGGGTCGAGGCGGCAGTTCCCCCGGAAGCTCAGGGGTTAAAGTCATATGCATTTAATAGTTGTCAGATAAGCATATTTTGATACCTTATTTGTGACACTGGCAGGTCTCTATTGCCTTTCTTCTTTCCGTTTTTTTCTTTCCCTTCCCTTCCTTCTCTCTCTCTTTTAGATTTGCTGTGGGAGGCAAGCGCCCCCCCCCCCGATTCACACGTTGTTGGCGGAATTAATCGCAACTGATGTCGGTCCCCTTCTATTCACCCTTTTTCTGTTCTTCTTCCTCTTTCTCTTTCCCTTTTAGCTCTCCTTTTCCTTTTTCCCTTTCCCTTCCTCCTCTCTCTTTTTTGGCGCGGGGGGCAAGGCAAGGGCCATATGCCCCCCCCCGATCTACAGCTTGTTAGTGGGAAGTGTGCAACTGATATCCCCCTTCCTTTCTTTTCTTCTTCCCTTTATCTCTTCTTTTCTTTTTTCCTTCCTTCTCCTTATTTTGTTGATTGGGGGGGGAACAGCCTCCTTCTCTCTCTCCCTCTCTCTCTCTCTTCCCCCCCCCCCCCCGCCCCCGCCACTGGATCCGCGCCTGGTACGATGGGCCTTGGCCCAGCCCACGCTAGCACAGCCCCAGACACGTGAGCGAGGTAAGCGCTAACTGCCTGCTGTTGCTGCATCTAGCTTGGGACGGTAGGTCTAATTCATGTACATTACGGACGTTAAATCCGGCATTTTACTTGAAATAAGCGTAAAGAAAGACAAACTATACCCACAGAAAATCATATTAATCCTCACACTGCTACATGAAACAGTCATGAATGATTTGTTTCTGTCTTATGCGAAATTTTACTTAGTTTTATTCTAATGTTAGAACGAGATCAACATAAAAATGACATTGACAAATTAAGCGGCTTATTATGTTGGCCGATTGAAGACGTAATAATGCCCAGTGACCTAAATTTGAGTCTGTAGATTGTTTGGATTGATCGCATACATTAATATTCATAGGCGCGCATGATTATTCACGCTGGGATTGAAATCGATCACAAAAATTGATGTTAGGAGCGATATCGTTCCCAGTTA